TATGATGTATTATGTTGATTGGTGGACTATATGTCGTGTTTGGTGAATGTTGGGTGATGATTGATATGACTGTTGTAGTTACTACCTTTATTTCATGTATGTAATTACGATATATTTTGATCATGTTTTCTCACCCCTTTGTTGTTGTTGTGGTCTGTGCTTCTTTGGAAGTGCAGATAATCCAGGTACTTAGCTAGCTTGGATTTATGGTGGCCAGTCGAGTCTTAGGATGCTCTGATACGTAGCACGAGATTTGGGTGTTTTAATTGTTTACGTCAAACTTGTTGAAATCCTGTGACGTATCACATTTTGGTGAATTATAATAATAAAGATTTTATGTAATCTGGCGGATGGCCAAGAATGTTGAAATAATAATTTCCGCTGTTTTATTTTGAAAATAATCAATAAAGAATTTCGGTGAATTTTGTTGATGTGATATCCCACTGTTTTGGTGAAAACTCTGATGTTTATTTATAATGTTTATATTTTATTTAATTTGGGAAGTTGGGTGTTACAGGACACGCCCTCGACGAAAGCCTTTGTCGACAAACGCTTAATCATGAGGAACTTCTCATCGATACAAGACATGAAATCCACCCTCTGTGAGGAAGAGACTCCTCGACACGAAGATTCCTTATCAGAACCTTCAAGTGGAAGAAGCCTCCTCAACACAAGACTTTTTCAGAGCTTCTACACCTTCGCGAGGAGGAAGTCTCTCCGACGCTAAGCCCAAAAAATATTTAAGAACTTCGAGCTTCATCGAAAAATTTATGAGTTCCCCATAAATTTCATCGGAAACTTCAGGAGTTCCCCTGAAATTTCATCAAAAACTTCATGAGTTCCTCGAAGTCTTCATCGGAAACTTCATCGGAACTCCACGAAATTCATCGGAAGTTTAAGAATTCCCCCATAAAACTCACAAAAATCTCCTGAAAACGCATAACCTCATCGCGAAGTTCATGATCATCGCCAGGAAACACACATTTTGTTTTCTTCTTACTCGGTATTCGATGGCAGTTGGCGATTAAGGGTGGCAGAACCACCGTCAAACGCCAACACTCGCTGAAACTGGATCCTAAAGTTGCACTATAAGGCTAACCACTACCAGATAAACTGAGAAAGGAAGCGAAAACTTACTTTGTTGAAGAAGATGCTAAAGATCTACGGTGACAAAAAGAGGGCTGACGACAACGACGACGGCGAGCGAGTGTGAGGGAGAGTAGAGAAACTCTTGAGAAATTATTGAAGAACTTGAGAATACTGCGAGCGTACCAAATGAATCCATTTCCCCCTTCTTATATCCTCTGGCATGGGAAAATGAATCGCCGCCTAGATCCTCGAGTACCCCTACTCGTAGGCTGTCAGAGGCATTTATCATTTTTGACATGTGGCTAGAAAAGACATCATACTTGTCTTTTCAAGACCTATCACACGGCTCGAGGGAATGACGTGTTTGCTCTTTCCATTTCTGTCACACTCCCATATTGTATTACGAGCACGTCCTCAGAGAAAGGTTTGAAACAAGTTACATTGTCGAGCACAGATAACGACCTTGGCCCCTCGTGAGCATATGACCTCGAGATAAACGCGAAGTTGAACCTTGTCGTCGAGCATGCATCTCGATGAAAATATTTTTGCACACTCGCGCTGTAGAGCATGGGGAGTAACTTCCATGCTTCTTCGCGAGCGTAGCTCCGCGATCTCACGACCACGAACCAGAGTAGACGATTTCCCTAGGGAAATTTCCTTTGTCTCTTTTTGACGTAAGAATTGACTCTAAGTCATTACTTCTCTACTTCAGAGCAACTACTTAGGGGGATTCTATTCTGGACTGGGCCTGAGGCTGGTGCACTGTCGGGCACAATCCAGCCTAGTTCCGCATCGAAGAAGTTCCAACACAAGTCTAATCCATCATAACCGCGAAGGGCATGTTCCTCACACGTTCTCCACATGCTTCTCACGCGAGGACACGTCAGCAATTGAATCCACACCTTTCGTGCGACAGTTTTGCCCTCAGGAACGGACTGATCCACTACGAAGTTCTTGGGACAGTTGACCTAGGACGAAGACCACATGCTGGTCTTCCCTACTTTCACGTAGGATCCTGACTGTCATTCGTTGCAGGCCTAACTATCCAGTCCACAATAGATGACCGTTGACCTAATGTTGGGGGCACATTGTAAATTCCTTCCTCCGTAGGAGGGTCAGGTATTCTCATTTCACTCTCATTATTTTGTACTTGCCTTTTCTCTTCACTCTGAACCTTATTTTACCATCAGAGTGTCTTACAGATACACCCCTTTCCTTTTTGCTGTCACCAGTGAATTTGAAACTCACGACGTGTTGCTAGCCGCTGATTGAATATCTGATCTCGATAAAATTAATATAAAACACAATAATAAAACTTATCATCCAAACTAAATTAAAATCTTTTACATTTTTTAAATAGTAGCATTATACATCTAATTTATTATATCCTTATGTATTAATAAATGAGAAAAATTCAAAGACATATAAAAATTCATAACATAATTTACTAGTTTAGCAAAAAAAAAAATTTTGTATAAGAAATGGGATAGTTAGAATAAAATAGAACTAACAATTATAAAAGAGACAGACAAAAAATTGGTTAGAAGAATTGTGATATTCATCCCGTTACAACCTTTTGGATGGATAATTTGAAATTTCATTTCATTTTATTTTGTAAATATCTTTCATAGATATTTATGGTTTGTGAGTTTCTAACAAAAGTAAAGTTATAAAGAAGAAACATGAGGGTAGATATATTTATACGATAGCTCTAGAAAAATAAATTGTATTTAGTTTTCAATTTGTAACTTTTTCCATGTGCTAGTGGAAGTTGAGATTTCGTGAGAATTATTAATAGGATTAATAGTAATTATTTTCTATTGTTATTATGTGGAGTAGTTTTATTATTATTATTATTATTATTATTATTATTATTATTATTATTATTATTATTATTATTATTATTATTATTATTATTCCTAGCATCCACTAAATACATTTTAATTTAAAAAAAATAAAAAATAAACTAATATAATATTATTGAATAGAATGAATTCATTCAATTCGATTTCATTCATTTATATTAAGGGTTTTTCTAACCTATGCAACATTACACAAGAGGTAATTAATACACCACTTCATTCAACATAAGTTACTAATACAATAAATACAATGTTAATAAGAGGGGAGAAAAATAAAAATCACTTTATTATGGTCTATTAATTGGGTGGTATAGAGAGAAAAAAAGATCAATTTAAGAAAAAAAATTAACATGATAATTTAGGTTGAAGAAAATGGTGTATTAATTGCCTCTTATCCTATGTAATGTTGCATAGGTTATAGGTTAAAAGAAGGAAATTTTATCCCATACTCTTATAATTATATCTATATTCTTATATTAAAATTTTTTGGACCAAAATATCCTCATATAAATAATTATAATTTTTTTTGTTTGTTCACCGAAAGATTTTTTTGTAAGTCTTCCAGTTCACATTTTTTTAGTTTGTTCACCGGAAGACTTTTTGCAAGTCTTCCGGTTCACATTTTTTTTTATATTCAAATTACATAATATATTTATTCTATTTACTCTATTTTAGTTAATTAATATATTTATTCTATTTACTCTGTAATTTATTATATTTATTTTATTTAATAATAATTATCTTATTAATTTAATTTTTTATTAATTTATTATATTTATTTACTTAATAATAATTACTTCACTAATTTAATATTATTTTTTTTAATCAATAAAAATAAAAATTGTTAACTAATTTATATATTGATTGTGTTCTTTAAAGAAAAAAATTAATAATTTAATAATATGTTTATATGAAAAATAAAAATAAAAATCATTTTTAATTATAATCCTATCATTTTTTCTATAAAAAATTTTCAAAAAAAATTATAATATATAACATTTATAATTATTTAAACAATAATTATTAACTTTTAAAATATTAATAACTAATTAAATCATAAATAATAACATTGAAAACCTCCAACTCCACCTTTATAGTTGTTTAATTAAATAAAAAACTTATAAAATAAAAAAACCACACCCCACATTTTCAACTATTTAACTAAATGACAACTTGGTGGTTTAAAACGACAACTTTAGTGTTTTTAATTATTTAATTTAAAGTTAAAGAAAAAAATCCACTCAAAAAAATAGATGTGTAATCCACTATAGAATCAAATTAATTATACATATTAATTTATTTTAATTTTTAATATTAAAAAAGTTAAAAAAAAACATGAATCAGAAAACTTACAAAAAGTATTCCGATGAACAAACGAAAAAAAATATAAACTGAAAGACTGACAAAAAGTCTTTCAGTGAGCAAACGAAAAAAATTATAATTATTTATACAAGGATATTTTAATAAAAAAATTTTAGTGTAGGGATATAAATATAATTTTAGGTGTATGGTCTAAAATTTCCATAAAAAAAATATTTATATTAAAACGAAACAATAAAACATGATACCATTCAATTCCTTGTATTTTCATCAATCCAAACCTAACATTAAGAAACTACATATCCTAACAAATATTATTTCCATAAATGATGATTATCTATAACTTACGTGACACTATTCGTTACGGTTTTAAGATTAATTTAGACGTAACATGCTTATATTATTTAGTATTTACTCATAAAATAAGTTAATTAATCTCCATTAACGCGCACACAATTTTATTTAATGTCACATCAAAATCATGTTAGAGGTGATTTAAAATTTTGTAGCCCCGATCTTCACGCAAAAACTTGTCTGAAATATTTTGCACTTTTAGATCTGCAAATTGCAATTCTCTCTGATTTCTTTCGATCAAACCAAATCTCACTGATGCTTCTGTCTCCGACATTCCTCTCTTTCACCGTTTCCGAAACTAAAACTACATAAAGGTTATTGGTTATCGATTGCATACCCAACACAAAATATTTCATCTTTAGCATGTGAGTAATAATGGGCTCGGCAAATTTATCACCGTCTTCTTCCGGCCATATTGATATGTCAATCTCAGGTTTCTCTTTTTCTTATAATCACTCTTTTACCATTCACTCATTCATCATTTTTGTTGTGTGTGGAATTTCATTCATTCTGGATCTGTGAAATTAGTTGTGTTTTAATAGATTGGATTATGACTTGGTTTGATTTCGAATGGATGGTTATTTTATGTATCTGGTGGAACAAAGTTTTTATTTTATGGCTATTGTTTTTCTTCAGGGTTATTGGAAAGTGCCACTTTCTAGTTTTTTTTTTTTTTTTTTTTTTTTTTTTTTTTTTTTTTTTATGTATTTGACTCTCAGTTTAACCTTAATTTGAAATTCAAATCCAAAGGAATATATTTATCATGACCTATGAAGCACATACACGGTCACTAGACACCAGAGAATTGTTGGAATTTCCGTCTTTATTGCGGTCCGCCCCTAGTCGCCTAAATTGTTCGCGCTTTGGTCTCATTGAGGCCCGAGCGTGAGGAGGCCTGTTGAAATTTATGCCTTCATTGATGTCTGCCCCTAGTATACTAAATTGCAGAATTTGGCTTGTCTTTATTGCAGCCTCCAACACCTTCATTGTGTTGGGTTTGAAGGGGAGGATTTAGTCCCAATTGCTTAGATATATAGCCTAGCTTGTGTTGTCTTTATAAGAGAGAATTCTCATCTTACAATCCTGTTTCGTAGGGTTGGGTTAGACCCAAACCACACATTCTAAGATGATATTGGAGTCTATCCTAGATCCCTTGTTGGGCCTCCCAAATCATCCACGCTTCGGCCTCATTGAGTCGAGCATGAGGGGTGTGATGATGCTACACATATCATGGTTAAATTAGTTTACATGGTTATAGAAGCTGTTACTACCTTTCATCACAAAAAGGTTAAGGTTAGGGTAAGTGGGGAGGAGAAATTGAATGGCTAGGTAAGGTTCAAAGATAACTGACAATTTGAACATAAAACAAGTTATGACATGATAGTTATTAGACTTAAGATAAAGCGGAGAGTTTGCGAAAAGTAAATCTATTTGCAAACTTGGATTGCCATTATGTTTGAAAAGTTCACCTAAAAGTAAGAATAGGTTGATTGACATGTGTTTATTTTGTAGGGCTTCATGAAAAGCACAAAATGGAGCTAGAAAATTTGACTCTAACCACACAACCTTTCAAAACATTGAAATACTCCACATTGGCGGTTATTCAATACATAAAGAAAACAATGTTGTACTTATTGGCAAAAGGAGGATGGCTTCTGCTTTTCAGTGTTGTGGTAGGGACTCTCGGCGTAGTGCTGATGGCGCAGGGTTGCCTGCATGAGAAGGTAATTTTATGTATTCAGTTGGTAACTTATGGAAATTTGTTCTGTGCCAAAATGCATTCCACTGGAAACAAGTTATTTCTATTGTTGTTTATTAGTTTAGGATATAAAATGCAATACTACCTTGGTAATCTAATCTAGAAATTCAAGCACTCTTAAATGTGCAAAATGCAGTAATAGTAGAAAACTTGTAACCAGCCTAAGTGTTCATATTGGTATTTAATATTATTGTGGGAAGATTAAGCTTATGAGGATGAAATTTCTTTTGTTTAGATACTCACTTGGAGTCTATAAATGCTTGTTCTTTTTGCAGCATCTTGAGGAGTTTCTTGAATATTTCCGCTTTGGACTATGGTGGGTGGCCCTTGGGGTTGCATCGTCAATTGGTCTTGGTAAGTACAATAGGTGTGCACCAAAATAACTTATGCTTTTCAGTGTTGCGGTAGGGACTTATATGTGATTTGGCCTAAAAATAAAGGAGTTATTTTTACAACATGAATGTTTTATACTAGAAATTTTACGGACATTCCAATCCATTTTTCAACATCTTCATCATATGCCTTGTAGTCGTTGTCATTAAGTTTGCATTTTCCCTCTTTTATTTATGTGTGTGTATGTAGGTAAATTGTTCTCTTATCATTTTATTTGATTCAGGATCTGGTTTGCACACATTTGTCCTATATTTGGGTCCTCACATAGCACTATTTACAATAAAAGCAATGCAATGTGGCCGAGTTGATTTGAAAAGTGCTCCTTATGATACAATACAGTTAAAAAGAGGTCCTTCATGGCTTGATAAAGATTGTTCTCAGTTTGGGCCGCCATTATTCCTGTCAGAGTATGGTTCTCGGGTTCCACTTAGCAGCATCTTGCCTCAAGTTCAGGTGGAGGCTGTTCTATGGGGTTTGGGAACGGCTATAGGGGAGCTTCCTCCTTACTTTATCTCCAGGGCAGGTATATCGTCACTAGTTTATCACATACTATTTTATCGATCATACATAACAAGGTCGTTATTAAGTTGTCACGATAGTTTGATTTTGGTAGCACATAATTATTCAGAAAAAAATGCTCGCCTTTGGAATATTTTATTTCATTTGTCTTGTATTTTTACTTGCTTATACTATGATGGTGCAATGTTCTGAAACTCGTTTATGTTATTTATAAAAGGGGTGTATGTTATAGCTTTATTTGATCTTATCTCATAACATAAATACTTAAATTAGTGTTTGGATACACTTATTAGAATAGCTTATGACATGTGTTGTTTTCACTTTCTGCTTTATTTCAATGTCCCAAGAATGGTTCATGAGTAAGAGCTTAATTTTCTTTGTTATAGCTTATTGAATAAACACTTAATTAAGTTCTTCACACCCAAACACACACTGAATCCTCTATAGGTGAAAAGGGAAGTCCTTCATAGTTATTAGACAAAAAAAAGTATGACTCATTTACTGTTGATTCTGTATTTTCAAAACAACGGTTACTACCGGCTATGAAAGCTTTTATCCTCATGGTTATCTACACCATTGTTGTCAAATATCTGCCATGCCAGCGCTATGGCCGATATACATGGCAGTTTTTTGGGCTCGCCGCAATGATAAATATTGACCGATATTGCAGGCTTTCTGCTATAACGGTGCTGCAAAGCGGCCAGTATGGTAGGATTTTGGCTCTCTGCCATGAACAGCCATCTGCCATCGACAACACAATCTACACGATGAACTTAAATGATTGGGTCAACTCCAAGGATCATCTTGTTGTTTTGAATCTCATGGGATCTTACATTTTTCATGTGGTCTTGAAATAATGCACCATGTTGTATAGCATATTTTAAAAGGAATTAAAAAGTTAGTCTTGAGGCTTGGTTATGAAAATAACATGATTGATACTTGTTAGAAAGTTTGGATCCATTAGACAGTTTTGAAGTAAATTATTAGGTAATGTGAATGCGTGAATAACTACTGCACAAAACAAAAAAACTGAGTTTGGCCACATCTGCTGTTGGAGCAAGAGAGTACTATGAGTGTTTCCTGATATTTTCAACAGCCTTCTTTTTCGAAGAACATGATTTCATGCTTACTTCATTTCCACTAATTTTGTGTCCTTATTAGTTTGTTTAGGATTTGGTTTTTACACGATTCTAATTCTAAACAAATCATTCATGCAGCGCGCTTGTCTGGGAGCAAAGTGGATGGCATGGAAGAGTTAGATAGTGACGATAAAGGAGTCTTGAATCAAATCAAGTGCTGGTTTTTATCTCACACACAGCATTTAAACTTCTTTACCATTCTAGTGCTTGCTTCGGTTAGTATCCACTTCATTCTTCATTCCAGAATACTCTTTTCTCCTTTCTTTATTCCGCTGTTCATGTTTGCATCTTCATGCTCCATAGAACTTTAAAAGAATTCCAATTATCATGCATCACAGTGCTTGTCCAATTTTCGCAATACTGAATATATATTTCAGGTGCCAAATCCTCTATTTGACCTTGCTGGCATCATGTGTGGACAATTTGGCGTTCCGTTTTGGAATTTTTTCCTTGCAACTTTGATTGGAAAGGCAATTATTAAAACTCACATACAGGTATGTATAGGTTTGAAGTTCTCTTGGTCATTTTTACCTCCTATTTTATCCTTTTTTTTACGTGCTTTCATTTGCTTTTGCATCGTAAAATTATTGACATTACATTAGTCCTTCAAATTTGACCTCATGTTAAACCGAATTTGTGTCAAAAGTTTAACTGAAGGAGCGTTAGTTTTGATTGGCCGTGTATTTAATATTCTTTTTTGCAGACAGTATTCATCATCTCAGTTTGCAATAATCAACTTCTCGACTGGATAGAAACTGAACTTATCTGGGTTCTCAGCCATGTACCGGTTTTTGCATCCGTTTTGCCTAAACTAGTTGCTAATCTCCATGCAATGAAAGCTAAGTATCTGAAAGCACCTCAACCAGTTTCTCCAAATACACAGGTACCAATTAAATGCAGCGTAATGTGTTAAATGTTGAATTACTTCGAACTAATAATTACTTAATAGAAGCCTCAAAGTGTTGTTGATTTTTTGATATATATCTAAATTTGTCACCTTCAGGGGAAAAAGTGGGATTTCTCTTTTACTTCAATCTGGAATACTGTGGTATGGCTCATGCTCATGAACTTCTTCATCAAGATAGTGAATTCAACCGCGCAGACGCATCTGAAGAAACAGCAGGAGAGGGAGCTAGCCGCATTAACCAAAAAGTCAGATTCAGACACACAATGAAATGCATTATTATTTTTGTGGTTCTTCTGGCAAGATGAAACTTGAAGCTATTCCTGAAGCTTCCATGGAAGTTACTCCAAAAACTTGAAGAAGCTATTGCTTCTATATACAGAGTTGGCAACAAAAGTTTCCAGTTTTGTTTGAAAAGTGTAACTTGGGGGCAACCATTGTTTGGATATTAGATTTTTTATTATAGATATTAATTTAACCCCATAATACATTAGCTACTGTTACATTTTGGAATCATGCAGAGTGATTCCTACTATTCTTTTGCAATGGCAAGACAAATTATTATTAGTTCTTTTATTTCTTTTAAATGATTTCAAGATAAAATATTTAATAGGTATATCAATTAAGATTGATCTCACCTGATCAGAAAGAATCAATGGTCTGCGACGCGTAGTTGAATTGTAGCTTTCAGTGGAGGTAGGGAGAAGGAAGGGGGTATATCTGTAAGGCGCTTAAGTATAGGATCAGAGTGGGAGAGCAAATACAGAGAAGTAGGTGTAGAGAATAGAATACCTGATCTTCTAGTGAAAGAGGATATTTATAGGGAGACTCCAGCGCAGAGCCAACGGTTACTTGCATTGGGTCAGACTGTCAGGTCCAACCCAAGTGACTACCAGAGCTTACGTGGCGTAGTAAAAACCAGCACATGGTCTTCGCCCTATATCAACTGTCCCGTGATCTTCGGAAGGTGGACTGACTAACTCTTTCGGAGGTGGATAGTTGTCTGATGACGTGTCCCTGCGTGGGGAGCACGTGGAGAACATAGGGAAAACATGTGAGTCTCCCCGCTAATGGAATCGTCTGTCGGACATATATGACCCGTGCCCGACGTAGGAGAATGTGTCTTATTGAGTTCCCCAACGTAGTGTTGTGTTGGACCTGCCCGACGGAGGGACAGGTCCCAGCCCAATTCAGAACAAAAATATTATGTGTGTTATCCAGATTTGACCCATCAAATATTTGATAAAGATATGTCAAAATAATATTATTTGATTAAGCATGTTTATTATATACACAACTATGAAACATGTTTAGCACGAACACATAATTTAAAAGTGGTAAAGTGATGAATTATGAGTTTTAATTTAAATTCTGTATATTAATATTGTTGCAACTATCAACTAAACCAAACTGTATTATGAGACTATACAAATAAATTTAAACTTAAAACTAAGCTTAATTACATAAATGCCAAGAGTAAAATGTTTGAAATTTCCTTAAAAAGTTTGACATACATAGGGATGTCAACGGCTTGGGTATAGATAGGTTGTCATATCCACAATTTAAAAAATTCTATGTATCCGAGTCCACATACGCGTGAACACCAATGTTTGCAGCCGTATCTTATGAGTACCTAAGTACCCATATTCATATCTATTTACTCGCATTTTTAATAAAATTTATTGATCAATTATAATCTATCATATCATTTTAAATTTTTAACAATATTTAAAAATAATTCAAGGATGTTTTTAGAGTTAAGAAATGAACAAATATTTATATTTAAAATGTGTATAAATTTAATAATGATGTATTTTATAAAATTGATAAGCATATAGACATGTATATATAAAAACAAGAATTTTATTCTTACGCTTTTTTGTTATACCAAATACATACACTGTATACACTGTTCACTGTATTTATTCAGTGAACAATACTTGTTTAAATAATTATTTTTATGAAAAATGCATGAACACTGTGAACAGTACCCGTGAACAGTATTCGTGAATATTGAAATTCAATCACGATCTATGGTGAATTCTTCTCAATCTTGATCTCAAGATTGTTATGTAATGACAATGAACAAAAACGAGAACATGTTTAAAGAAGATAAGTATGAACTGCAGAGTAACTCTCTGCCCACAGCTGTGGAATTTTATTATCACTTTACAACTGCAAAACAATGATTGTCAAACTTGATGATTACAATCATAAGGGTTCCTCCCTATTTATAGATTTAGGTTAACTTGTATGTTAAGCTAAAACGCAAAATATAAAAGCCCAAAAATATATAATTTAATATTTCTAAATCAAATATGATATTTCTAAATCAAATCTAATCTTTCTAAAACAATGAATTATATATTTAACACATCACCTAACTCATTGTGTCTAAACTATCTACATTCATCATAGACCTTAACTTCTTGAACACTTCGACTGACACTTCATTCATCACGACGTCTGCAATCTGATTCTCAGTTCTGCAGTGCTCCAAGTTTATCTTCCCTTCTGCTACATGCTCTTGAAGATAATGGAACCTGATTTCGATGTGCCTGCTTCGACCGTGTGCTATTAGATTCTTCGCCAAGTTGATATCAGACATGTTGTCGATCTTTATGATAATTGTTCTATGATTCTTCCCTGTATCTCTTCTTGTGTCGAGTTACCTCTCCTTTAGGATTCACCTTTACCTTGCAAACTCATTTCACATCAATTACCTTCTTGCCTTGAGGCAATTCGACAAGTGGCCAAATGTTGTTGACTTCGATGGACTATAACTCCTTAGTCATAGCTTTCACCACTTCGAATCCTTCAATGCCTCTTCGAATCCTTCAATACCTCAGCTGGATTGACTGATTTGACGTCTGCATAGAAAATATAGTGTACCAACTCACCTTCTTCATTGACCACATCATATGATGTAATCACACATTCTTACAACCTTGCAGGAATGTGTCTTGTTCGTCGAGGTTTGCTTGGGCCAACTTCACCTCGAACTTCTTCTTGTCGAACTTGTCTTTCGACTTCACTAGCTGGTTCTTCACACAAGATTCTCACTGAATCTTTCTTCGTATTCTAAGTCCAATCTTATTCTTTAAGCTCATCTATGATCATATCTCTGCTGATCACTACCTACTTATTCACTGGGTCGAGCAACTTGTAACCTCTAGTCGAAAGATATTCTATCAAGAATTGTCATCAAAGCTTCCTTCTCAACTGATCTGGCACATGTCTATGTGTTATAGATCCAAACACCGTTAAGTGACTGAGGCTAGGCTTGACATCAGACCAACATTCTTCTGGTGTGATTCCTTCAAGCTTATTCATCGGACATCTGTTTAGTATGTATGTTGCTATCGAAACCGCTTCTCCCCATAATTTTTTGGGTAGATGCTTCCACTCAACATACTTCTCACCATGTTTATGATGGTTCTGTTCTTTATTTATGCAATTCCATTTTGCTGTGGAGTATAAGGTGACACCACCTCATGCACAATCTCTTTTTTTTCACATAATGCATCGAACTGTTTCGGCGCATACTCTCCACCACCATCAGTCCTCAGAATTTTTAACTTTCGACCACTCTGTCTTTCGACCATATATTTGAATCTGGAAAATACCTCGATCACATCACTTTTCTTCTTAATGAGGTAAGTCCACAAATTTCAAATGTAATCAAATCCACCTGGATTGAACCACATACATCAGAGTATATGACTTCCAAAATTGCCTTCGACTTCCTTCCTGCATCCTTGTTGAAGCTATTCTTGTGTTGTTTCTACTGAACACACTCTTCATAGACTTCACTTGGAATGTCGATTTCAGATAATCCTAAAGCCATATTTCTTCCATTTAGCTCTCTGATGCCATTGAAGTTGAGATGACATAGTCGAAAATGCCATAACCACTCATCTCTGCTGGATGCAGTTGTTAGGCACTTGTGCTCTATCACATTGAGTTCAATCTTGAAGGTCATATTCTGAGACATTTGAGCCTTCAAGATCAACCTACCACCTGCGTCGAGAACTCTCATCATCTTGTCTTCGACAACCACCTTGTAGTTCCTTTCGACAAGCTGTCCTATACTGAGCAAGTTACTTTTCATGCCTGATATTTATACCACATTGGAAGTTATTGATTTCTTGTCATCCTTCCTCACGATTTAAACATCACCAACACCTTCAGATGCTAGGGTGACACCACCTCATTTGCAAACTAACATTTCTTTTCAGTCATGTGTGATGAGCATCCTAAGTACAAGTGTAACGCCCCAGACTGCTTTCAAAATTACCGACTGATCCTACAAACCAACACGGGTCTTTTCAGCATACTTTATCCTCACTCACACGCTTTTTGAGAAACTTCCCAGAAGGTCACCCATCCTAAGATTTTTCCAAGTCAAGCACGCTTAACTGTGGAGTTCCTATTTGCAGTATCAGAATGAACAGTGACAACAACAATACAAAGTTATTTATCAATAATCTGTGCCAATCTTATACTTCATATCGAGACTCAAATATTTGTCATTTACAACATATAAAAAGTAAGCTATCAATATCATAATGACCAGAAAGCCTTTAAATTAAACTTGTTACATAGAAAACATATATCGTCAGTGGTGAAAAACTGCGTAAAATCTGTAAAGGAATTTGTAGTAGACCTTGTCAGTTTTGAACTACACAAGTAAAATATTATTCTGCAATATAAGAAATTTTGCGTACATGCAAAATTTTCAGTATACCAAAAAATTTGGAAACTTCTAAAGTTTTAGTAGCTATACGGAAATTTCAAAAATTGTTGGTACGTTTTTGGTTTTTTTTAGAAAAATATTGAAAATTTCAAAATTGCTAGTATTTCTTCACCAAAAATTTATAAAAAAAATTGGTACAAATGCTTGATTTAAAAAAAAAAACGCGAAAAAAATCGTGTCAGAAATTTCGTTTACACAAGCAAGAATTTAGTTTTTTTTTAATAGATTTGTAAAAGTGAATTTTTTTTGAAGAAATATAAATTTTGATTGGTAAACAAAAGCAGAGACAATTTCGTCAATAAGAAAATATGAAAGATGTCAAGTATAAAAGAGGGGGTGACAGTTTAAATACTCCATTAATTTGCACGCGATCCAAATATCTAAAAACACATACTTACATGCTCACACTATTCTAAACTAAACTATGCTACATTGACACCGTTTTTCTACACCTTATGCAATTTACACCAAATATATATAATTGTTGCAAAAATATTAAAGTGACATAAAAAAT